CCCCCCCAAACTACCTGGCTGATCGCACCACCCAGGAGAGCAACCTTTTTCTCTCCTGCTCTGTGCGGTGACCTTCCCAAAAAGACAGAGGCGTAAAACCCGCCAAGCTCGAATAAACTCAGCAGGCTAAGAGGGGAAGGGACCATCAAACTGCTTTGCTCGACCCAGCAGCTGTTTTCCTCATTAGCTCCCATTGTGCTGGGGCCAATCTCCAAGACCCGGAGCAGACGCAATTAGCAGCAACTAATGACAGATCTCAGTCAAGCAGATCCCGAAAGACTGAGGCTCCTTAATTTTACGTAATAGGAAAAGCTGCGGCGGGAATAAGGATGCATCGGGAACGAAAAAAAATAGAAGTCCACAGCACGTTTTGGTCACTGTATTGAATTTCTAATGCACACCTTTGTAATCCACACCACAGACGTTAGGATACTTGGGTGGGACAAAAGCGGGTGCGGTTAAAGGACAGGAGAGGTGGAGGTAAACTCATTTATCTCGGCTTCGATTTCAAGGGCTCTGGGTATTTTTTTAGTCTCCCCGGCGATGGTGCCTCGCAAGGTCTTGCAGCAGCATAGTTACAGCACTCCCTTGCAGCGTCTGTGCGTACAAACCGTGATTGCACATACCTTTAGCAGTCGAAACGCAACACTGATTTCTAGTAAGTCTTCAGCAAAAAGGAAAGAGACCCGAAATAGACATGTGCTCCAAAACACTTTTTATCTATGCTAGGCTCTATGGTTGAACAAGAGCGTTTGGGTTGGTTTAGCTTTTTTTTTCCCCAGGGGTGGAAATGTCAAAAAGTGACAGCAATCTAATAGTCAGAGTCCACTCTCAGATGACTATATTAGTGTAAAACTTAGCAAAAAAAAAAAAAAAAAGGTTAAGGCACTGAGGTTGAGCAGGTTATACTTCAGCTCCCAACTCTATCACAGACCTCCTGTGTGACCTTGGGCAAGTCTCCATCCCTCTGTAGCTCAACTCTTCATCTGCAAAACAGAGACACTGCCCCTCTTCCTTTATTTATTTCCTTTAGTGTCTGTGAAGCATGGACGGTTGCAGTATCTAGATCCAGCTCCTACAGCAGCTGGGCTTGACTGTGCCTCCCAGGGTAGGACATGCAGCAGTATGGAAGAAAACTACGAGTATGTGTTAGTATATGTTTCAATTATTTTTCTAAGCAGTTCTCTGGCTTTTCATCTCCTATAGCAGCTGAATCTTTTAACTACAAGAAGTTTTTTGAGATGGTAGGATTGAAAAAGAAGAGCCCAGAAGATGTGAAGAAGGTTTTCCATATTCTTGATAAAGATCGAAGCGGCTTCATTGAAGAGGAAGAACTAAAGTAAGTAAAATGCTCTTTTTCAAACATCCTTGCCTTAAGAATCTAATTTACTGTTTTCTTTTTCACAAGGCTCTAGATAATATACAATTCAATCTCTTGACGAGTATTTGTGTTCAATAATCAGTTGTTTGCTGATTAAATGATCTAAAATCTGCTGGAGGCAGCCAGCTGTAGCTTTTATTTCAGGACCCTGAAACACATGAACGATCAGAATCTACAGATAGTTCTTCAGCCAAATGCAGTTTCAGAGTAAAGTGCACTTCCTGAATGTTAAAGAAGGTCAACAACATAAGATACAACCCTGGATTCCAACTCATATATCAAAACAGTTGTACAATTAAATATGAAGTGAAACTGTTCTGCAAATACTTTCCTTTTATTCCATGCTTCCTCTTTAGGTTTGTACTGAAGGGCTTTACCCCAGATGGAAGAGACCTATCAGACAAAGAAACAAAGGCTCTCCTGGCTGCTGGAGATAAGGATGGTGATGGTAAAATTGGCGCTGATGGTATGTGATTACAGGAGTAAACTTTGATAGTAACAATCGAGTATATAAAAGAACTGAGGAAATCTGGGAACCACTGAGGGCTGTGACCTTCTGAAGGGCACAATTCGGATTTAATGAAATGCCAAGTTCTGCTACATTTGCCCTACCTTACTTGCAGGCTTGAGGGGAAACAGGAGCCCAGTTCTGACACTAGAGGGGGCAAGAGTTTACAGAATCTGACCTGTAGTTAAGGCACAGTACAGCACAAGACCAGGTATCCATCCAACTTCAGTTAGTTTAATTTCTCTGTCGATTTCAGAGAAGGGAGGATCAGGACACTGACAGTTCAAAGACCTGGGCTTGATTATAAAACTTAGAAAAGAGAAACACAAAAAGCTGAGTACCAGTATTTATGCTTGATGATTAGTAAATAGGAAAGTAATACATGACGTAGCAAAGCAATGCTCTTAAAATTCAAAGTACAGTCAGTCTGCTAAAGAATTTCTATACAATAACTGTTGATTCAGATTTCGCTACTGTTTGTGTGGATCTTCACAGCTAAGAAAGCTTGTCTCTCCCTTTAACTAAATATGAGACATACAAAAAAAGAACAATTTTTCCTCTCACAGCGTTGCTGAAAAAAAAAACTGCTGTTTTCTATTCCCTCTTGAGATCAATCTAATTAGCCCACATAAAAAATTTCTCCTTTTTCCTCTTTCTTCTATATCCGTGAGATGCACTGGAACAGACATGCAGAGATGTATTTCTGAATTAAATCTTTCCTCACTGGAGGAGATGGTAGAAGACGTTTGTGGTCAGACTACTAAATCACCTAAACAGCAGGGAATTACTAAGTTTTCACCATACTGATAGGGTGAAATCTAAAAAAATACCTTAAAAACCTCACATCTCGCTGTGTTACCTGATTTATAAAAAAAAGTCTCCAACTAAAAAGTAATTTAAAAAGGAATAAAAAGCAAAATAAGGTTAACTAACATAGTTTCCCAGTTTAGATGCTGAAAAATGGCATACAAAATCACCTACTGACACACTAGTCAGGTCATATATTAGCTAAACTGCCTGTTGACAGCATGCTGGCATATCAGTGATGATAATCCTGTTTCTAGACTAAAGCCTCTCAGTTTTTCAGTTCATTGTTATATTATGGTTACAGAGGAGCAATTGTGAAGCATCTAGGGGAAGTTCATGTTAAACTTTAGCTGTGCTACTGAACCTGAGGAGTGCGTCATTATTTGAAATTTCATATGCTTTATTATATGGGTCTTCCTTATTCCCACTAAAATTAGTGGCAGTGGTACTAAAATCAGTGGGTAAGATTTTCAGAAGAAAACTTGATTCAGGTAAGTAAATTTACAGCTGATCTGCCAGCCTCACATCAGATACACTCTCAGATATTCCTGGAAAGCTAAAAATGCAGAATGTTTATGGTTTATCCAAGAGGCTACAGCATTAACTTTTTTATTTAAGATTTATCATAACTGTTTCTAAAGTTGAAACAGTGCCTGAAAGCTGGTACATTGTAACAAAGCAATAGAAACACCTCATCTCTTTCTGCTGCAACTTTTACCATTCCTTAACTTTGAACAGGAATTACTCCGAATCTAGAGGCAAAAATAAAAAGACAATGAAAGGCTTTTTTCCTTTACTTCTTCTGGTCACATCCCTACCATACAATATTACTCAGTTTCTTTTCCATTTCTTAAATTTTACTCCAACAGCAAATTGTTGCACCAGAAAAGCTTGAAATATGTGCAAAGTTATCAGCTGGGACTGTGACCAAAGGATGAGGATGACAGATACTTTTCAGCTTTTCCTTTAGTTCATAAATCCAGTTCCAGATTATAATTGCCTATGTAAATAAAATGTAGAGTCACAAATGTACATCACGTTCATATTCAGTATTGTGATGCTGTATTTCTGTTTTAAACCATTTGTTTTTTTTTCCCTGTAACTGAATTGTCAGGCATCACTTTTACCCCTTTTTTCAAACATCACTAAATGACCACAGACATGCAGCCTTTCACAGGAGTTAATGCTAATTCACTAGATGGCCCTTGAACACTGTCCCTCAGGAGCCCATAACAGTTGTAAAAACTGATCTTTATGGATTTTTAACAAGACAGAACCATCTTTCTCAGATATACCATCACAAGTGCTAATCCCAACCTGATCAGCCTTCTTTCAGTTAGAGGACTCACATTACAAATTTTCTTTGAGATTTCCTGCTTTAAACCTTTTATCATTCCTGCAACACTTTTCAGCTTAGAAAAAGCTCCACCAGTTTACCACTTGTCCGATCAAGACTTGCAATTTGTGGCTGATCTGCCAGTTTCAAACAGTTGAAAACTCACAGCCTGTTCATGCAAGACATGATCATCTTCTGTGTGATGTCATGCCCCCTCCATCTTCCACTGATGCAAACAGAAGATGACGAATCTGAAAAAAATTGCAGGCAAGGCCGGGTTACCTAATAAAACTACAAACATTAGCCTCCAGATTAGATTGGGAAGTGATGCTGAAGTAACTCTGTCAGCTTCAGGAGAACATCTATAAGAAAGAGGAGAAAAAAATTAAGATTTCTGCTCACAATGTTTATTTTTAAAAAAATCTATTTTGTGTATTAGCACTAGACATGCACATCATGCCTTTCAGTTTCTCGATATTAATAAACTTGAGAAAGTACATAGAGAATTTTCAAAGATCATGGACTGTAGACGGAATAAATCCTAATTTTGATCCCAGAAAGTAAATATATTTTTCTCGATACAGCTCAACTTCTACAAATATTTAAAAATGTTTTAAAATGTGAAAATGAGACATCAAGCATTCAAAATCAGAACTGATAAGTCATGATCTTGCCACAGGTAAAAAGTCATGACAAAACAGAAAAATCTTTTGGAAGCTCTTCTTTTCTTATACTTCTTTGTTGTCTTGTATCTTCTAAAATAAATTAGTGTAAGTCATTACTTATGAAGTTTCCTAAACAGATTTGCTCTTGTACAGATAACGTAGAAAACACAATCTGATGAGAGAAATCATTAGCCTACAACATGTGCTCTGTAATTATAACTGTCATTTCAGTAAAATACTACAGGGTATGCATTAAGCTGGCATATACTACTAAACTATACTGAACACAGTGAAAAAATCCTCTTTTTAAGTCAGAGCTTTGACACAAGGCAGCTATTAAATTATTTTACATGACAAAATAGTCTAAATCCTTGTAATTTAAAACTATTATTTGTGCAAAGAAAGATATAATTTAATTTTGTTTGAAAGGAGAATTACAACTGGAAAAGAGGATGTAGTCAGTTGCAAGGATTCTCTCACTAACAGGCCAATCAGAGCCAATAAACATTGACAAGAATGATCGACAGGTAGGGGCTAATATACAGTGCTTTATTTCAGAAGTTCTGCATATATGAATACACTTTGTAACAATGTCTCCACAAGCCACCTGTGGTTGGGCTAACCTTCATAGAAAATAACTAGTTTACAAGATTATTCAGCTGGAACATCTTTGAAATATTTAAAGTATATTTAAAATCCCTTAAAAAAGGTATAAAGCATATAGCAGTTATTCCTGAAGGATTATTTTACGGTTTGCTGGCTATCAGAAAGTACCTGTGAAATACATTACCATTAAGTGATAATATCACTATCATAATGTATAATAGAAAATATTTGGCTGCAAGTCTGAACAACCTTTTCCAAATAAATTCTATAGATACAAATTGTTATTAAAAGGATTTAATTTAGCTGTAGCAAGTATGACAACTTGTTCTAATAGAATATGCATAGTTATTTTTCCCTTTTGGAAAAGTTTCATCCATTGCAGCTCATGTTTCTCTCTGCAGGATTTATTCATACAGTGATTTAATAATCAAAACTTTTTTCCTTTTCTGCCCAGAATAGTCTGGGTTTCTATCACAAGTACCTCATGTTATTGCTTCAATTCAGTTTGCAACACTTTCAATCTATGTACCCATCGTTACAGGATTTATATATGTTTTGTGTTAAGTAATCTGCATCACTAATCCTAATTTGGATTTACATCTTTCAAAATTATGGATAAATTTGGATTTAATTTAAGCCCTCTGACACTTTTATTTCTCAGTCTCGTTTGTCAGCATTTGGCAGTGTGTTTTTTGGACACGTCATCAAAAGCACTGTTTGTACACAGCAGTCAGTAAAGATCTCAGTTTTTTAGAGTTTAGCATTATTCAACTGAACATTAGAATATTTTTTAAAATGCCTAATTTTCATCCATCTTTTTAGTTTCAAGACATTACTCTTCATTATATCAAACTTCAATAATTTTCTCTTGAGCCTGTACAGATGACTGCCTCCCTTATTTATCATTTTCCTCTCAGCTGATTATGTTAAACCCATAAACCACTCTCTCTCTATACCCTCTAATCCTTTTATCATCTTTGTTGCCCTTCTTGGGATTCCCTCCAGTCTGTCATCTGTAATGCTCTGAGGCACACACAGCTGTGCACGGTATTCTCATGTGTAACTGCTCCAAGGTTAGATGGAGCTAGGAATTATAACCTCCTTGGGTAATACAGTATTCAGAGTGCAGTACACCAGGCAGCCGTTCATCAAGACAGAAATGTGCCTTCTCCATGCTTTGTCACCCTGCAGAAAGGTATTATATATACACCACAGCACCAAACTGCAAATACATACATTTATGCAAATATTATGGATGTAACACTAATAAAAGTCACAGAGTAAAATCCAGGCCCTCTGAGATCACAGGAATTATTCTTGTTATCACCAGTGTGGTCAAGATTGCTGCATAGGTTTATGTCAACCTTCTGGTTTTGTAATCTGTCATTTTTAGTCAATTTGTCATCATAAAATTGAGTTTAAATGTAATATATTTATAATATAGAGACATGAATACTCTGAAAGACTCATTAATGAATCTCTTTGCCAAACTCTGATATAAAGGAAATTTATCTTATTGCAAAATTAAATTTCTAGTTCTTGCCTTCAGCCCATTGAGATTTACAAAGGAATAACAGGGAACTAATCAAGTTCTTCAGAGGAATAGCAGTGGACCGTCTTGACAGTCTGGCATGCATAGCATTTCTCCCTTACCCTCAAAAAATCTTTTTATTTCACTGTAAGATTTCCCAAGTCATACCTTCTCTTTAATTAACTTGGATTTCTTCTTCTGTTATTGTGATGTTTCTGCTACACCAACGACTGTAATCACTGTAATATGCTTCCTCCTTCTTTACATTTTCCTTTTTTAATATTTTCAAAAAATCTTTCCCTTCTCCAGAATTTGCAACTCTGGTGGCTGAATCATAAAGGCTTTGACCAATGCAAACCCTTCACCCATCCTTCACTACCCAATTCCAACCACCTCCTGCTGACTGCTTTGGCTCCTGTTCTATTTATTTATGTTATTTTATACTCCAGCTCTGTTCTCTGCAATCCTACAACTCTGTAATTGTGCTGAAAGACACTGTTAAAATAATAAAGGTCACATCAATCTGGGCTTTATTCTCTCTCACTATAACTTGTTTCTTGTTTCATGTAGGCTTGGCACACGCTGAGAGAAAATCTTACTCTCTTTTGCTGACATCCCTGCTGCTTTATCCCTAGCTAGGCTAAAGTGGGAAGGAATTTTAAAAATTATCTGGGATAAAACATGCATATAATGAGTCATTTCGTCCAAGTTCTGAACTGTGGCAAAACTGACGGCATTATTTTTAAGCCATCCCTGCTAAATGGATGCATACTCATAGCCTGGAAAATCACTAGTGATGGCAATTACCCAACTTCATTTGGCAGTTTGTTCCTTCGACTTAATCAGTGTTATAGTTAAAAAGTATTTCCTAATATTTAACCTACATCTCCCCTGCCGCATTTTGGTGATCAGTAAATTGATCTTTGTATCATTTTTTAAATTTTCCTGGTGCAGGGGAATTTTTGGATGAAAGGTTTGACCAGAATATCAGTTGGTGCCAATCATGCATGGGGCTAACTTCATAAACTATTAAAAAGCAGACACTTCTGAAACACGGCGTATGTTTACTACCAATGTTACACAACTAGCTAGGACAGGAAAAACAAAATACAAGAAACAATGAAGTATGAATTTCAGGAAAGGGGACACCAAGATTGAGGTGTGATGCTACTGTTGACACTCCCACTGTTAAAATAATGTATCAAAAACTCCAGTCAAAAACCCATTTCTTTTAAAACTTTACCAGAAGAGTGAATTTCTTTGACTTACATAGAGGAAACTGAGCTTCAAGCAAAGGAAATGACTAGCCAACAGTAAGCCTATGACAGAGCCAAGAACTAAATGCTTGTTTCTCAAATCCTGTTCAGTAACTTTGGCACCAAGCTCATGAGGCTTTGTTTGTTTGTTTTCCCCAAAGCAAAGATTGGAGGGGGAGTGTGGGAAATAACTTTTAGGCCACATCTTCCCCTCGTCTTGACAGACCATTGATTACTACTGCAATAAAAAGGAAGGATATTTGCCATTTCTGGATTCCAAACTGTTCCCTGCAGCAATAATACCTTATTCCGATCAGATTTATTATCACGAATTTAGTATAAACAAAAAGACAAGGCTGAAACCCTGTCACCATCACGTTGTACAGAATACCATGCTCTGCCACAGCGATTACCCAATGCTACTCGGGAAGCCAATAAACACCCCCTAAAGCCATTCTAGATTTTCACTCTGTAGTAATTTACAAGGCAGACTTTTTGCTGAAGCTGCTGTGCGTTCAAAAGAAATCATTTGGTTTTGCACAATGTATATACGGATCTGAAGAATGTATTGATTTTTAAGTATACGAAATAAAGCAAATGAAAACGGACTGCAGCGAAGCGAGTTTATTGACTTCTTTTTCTCGGCAGCTGCTGACCTCAAGTGGCAATGGAGCGTAATTACAAGAGTATACAAGGCTACAGGAAAAACATTCGGAAGGCAGCTACTGAATTATCATGAATAAAGATCCATGGAATCAGAGAATCAACCTAAAATCGCTATATAAGCAAAGCCTCTCTAGTCTCTTCCTATTCTTTGAGCCTGCAAATGCAAATGCAAGTTCAATGCATTTTAATGCTTCACTGGATGGCATGAAAGCTGAAATTTTACCTAGGGCTTTAATAAAAATAGCACAATAGAACATATACTAAATTAACACAGCCATTAATGAGTCTAAAAATGATTTCTAGTACACTATGTGAAATAAAGTAAGTTACAGCAACATTAATGGGGATATTTTACTGGCATAAAAGTCTGAAGACCCCAATGATTCCTATATCAGTCTTTCTTCACATTATTCCCTCAATCACTCCTGAACAAGTAACACTGAGAGTCTAATTTGGCCTGACATTTTTCAGCTACATAGTAATGGAGAAGATGAAAAGAAATATTATTTTATTTTCAAGCTGAAAAAGTTACGAAATTGATACCACTTACAATGGGTAGAGAGACCTCCAAAATACCATCTTTACTTTTCATGGCCACCATACCTGATCTTCTAAACATGCATTTGGTCAGTTTATTCAAATATGCAACCAGTATACTCAGAGTGTGTGTAATCAAAATTCTCATAAAATCTGGTTTAAACCATTTCTCCCCCAAATGTATTTTAAATTCAAAGTCGAAATTTCAATATTTCATGCCTCTATCACTAAGGAAAAAGAAATTCAAACACATGCGTAATATAAATAAATCCCTGCTCAAATATAAAATGAAACTTTTCTCAATTATCATAAAACTATTACTTTTTTTCACTGCTAGCTCTTCAATATTTATCTTAGATCTTTACTTAGATCCTTACTTTTCCCACCAAATTCCTTCCCCAGATCTTGAATTGTTACATTTGCAATTAACAAAAATTCTCAGAATTTTCCTGTTAGGTGGAAGCTATCTAGTCATGGCTCAGAATGCAGCAAACAAATACAAAAATTCAAATTACAATAAAAGATAAAATAAAACCTTATACATACAATATATTCAATTATTCATTTTCATATTGCTCACATTTTAATGTCTTTTAGACTGACACAGAAACTACTGTAAAGACTGAATAAAGCAGAATTTTCTACAAAACTTAATCAGGCTTTCAGCAGAGGGTGGATTATAGTATGCTTGACAAACACAGAAAATCTACATTAACCTGCAATGTACAATTTCATGAAGAAAGAAGTTTTAATTTTCACATGCATAAGCAAAGAAGCAAAATTAAGTTTCTTAATTGGCTTCTTACATCTTCTTCTTTGTCTTGAATAGTAACTGTTCCATAATTTTCTCCCCTGCTGTAAGACAGTAGGAGTTACAAGAGAGAAAAAAAAAACAACCCACAAAACAAAACACCAAAAAACCACCACCAACAACAAAAAACCACCACCCAAAACCAACTCCAGCCATCGTGTTGAAGACAAAAGTTTAAATGATCACTACACATCCTTTCCTTAAATTCATAGGCAATGGCTTGTAACAAGACAAAACTGAATTCTTTAAGATATGTAAATTATACTTACACATACAAAAAGAAGACACTACTTGTTCACATTGATATTTTATATTGGTAGGAAAGAAATACATCTCTTCTCTCAGCTACAAGTCAAAAGGAAGAGCCAAATCCTCAAGTAGTAGACAAACTGTAATTTCCTGACAAATGACATTAGCATCTAACAAAAAAGATTTGCACTAACAGACCGTTATCAACTCTTAAAATTTCTCAGATCATCATTTACCATTACTAAACTCTTAACCAACAAATTAATAATTGTTTCTGCTTTAAGGGTCTTGCCAAGCTCTTAATGGAGTTTCATGGATCAGCAATTTTCCACATGTCTTATTTTGGGATTCAATGGACTGGAGGCCATAACACCTGTCCACTTTGCAGAAGCTGAGCTAGGATTTATATTTACAGTCTATCCACCAGTCCTGAGCTCATCAGTGCCTAATGTCCTATGATTGCTTCCACTCTTTGTTCACTTCATCAAAGCAAACCTTGATTTTCTGCTTCTTTTGCCTTTTCTGACTTTGCATCTTTTGGGGGTAAGTAAGGACACTTTTCCCTAGTTCCTGAATACTTTCAAAGACTGGAAATTCACTTCATGTTCTCCTTTGCAGCAACACACACATAGTTCTATCAAAACCTCTGTGCTACAGTATCTAAACATTAACAAGACTCTGTCCAAAATAGAGTTAATATTGTTATGGAATTAAAAACAGTGGCACTGCACAATATTTGCAATGAGTTCTGCCTCCACAAAATGACATAAGAGATTATGAATTTACAAGGTTAATCAAAGACACGAATTAGCCCACAAAATTTTTATTAATGAGTATAATGCACAAAAGATCTTCATTTGACTAAAAATCCCAGATTGAAATTAAAGTGGTGAACTGATAGAGAACACATTCTTGTACTTATAAATCAATTGCAAATGAAAGAGAAATTATATGGCATGCATTAACACACCACAATTCAGCTGTGGTTAAAGCATGCACTGATGTTCTAACACCACCCAGGAACCATGGGTAACACAGAGGCAAGAGCACAAGCTCTAGCAGATGCCAATGACTTAAATACCTCCTCTAGGGCGTATACTCTCTCACTGCTAATGTGTGCTTGAATCTGAGCTGCTGCACCTTCATTCTGAGAGAGTATTTTGGCAGCTTCTCTTTTCCAAAGAGACACACCCTTTAGAAATCCCAACACTCTCTAGAGCTCCAACGTTTAAAACAACTTTTCTCCTAAACAAGAGAGAGTGAAGCCAAATGTGTCTAAAGGGTGTTAGCTGTGTGCATGAGAGATTGTCAAAATTTTCCCAGACTGTAGGATCTCCTGACATGGGACAATTACTTCACAAGGGAGGAAGCACATTTCTGGTTAGTGCTCTTCTGCTTACTGAAGTAACAAAGCTTAACAAAGATTGATACACTGTTAAAGACAGAAGTTGATATAAATACAAATACTAGAGTCCCTTCTCCAGCCACCAGAAAAACAGAAGGGATTGCATGAGCTACAGCAATAAATGAATCAGAAGATCCAAATAAGAAAAAAAAAAAGAAAAAAATAACCACAGAAAACAAACAACTGGAAGGCATTTAACATGCAGCTAGAATTTTTTTTTCCTGAAACTTATTCAGTCTTTTGCCTAGGAAAATCTAAGTGAAAGGATCTTGTCAGCGGCTGAGTCGGAATGTCCAGCTCTTACTGCAGTTTTTAACTCTAGGAGATGCCACTCCGAGCATTTAATGGTTTATGTACAAAAATACAGTTGGTTTCACTGGCGTTACAGTGGTACGACACTGGCAGTGACAAATGGATACTTAGGCCTCCAGGTGGTAAGGACACAGTAACTCTCTATTAATTCCGACTTTGCCACTAAAGCTTCTAGACAGGGCATAAGAAGTAGAGGGCCGGAGGTCAAATGCTTAACCATTGATTACTGGAGGAAAGGGCCATGTGTTGCTGAACAGCCAAATGGTTCCGAGGCATTTTCAGGTTTGGGAAATGT